TTAGTCCACACATCAAAATACCTGTAACTGTACTTCAAAAAAATATATTAAAACATAATGATTTAAAATGTACTTTAAAATAAAACTTTTGATTTGACATTATTACAAAGTGCACTTTTTTACCCTTTAACTGATATCTCTACCATATGGTTGAGAAATGCATACACAATAAATACAGTAAATATTTTGCATTAAAAAAAGCATTTGCCAAGTTGAAATCACTTGTCACTTCTTGGTTTCCAGTAAAACATATGGCATAAATAACTATTTATAATTAATACTATAATATAAATACTATTATAATTAATACTATTAATAAAATAATTAATAACTAATTATTTTCAGTATACTGATTTAACCTTTTTTTGCACTTTATACACAGTTCAGTATGTAGAGAATTTAAATCTACTAACTAAAATCTAAAATCAGCCTGACTGTTGTTGGTAAATCTTGTCCTTGTGTCTTTCAAGGTAAAGGTCAGCGTTTGGCCAGACAGATCTTGTCACTCCAAAGAAACAAAGGGTTTTTGGGAGTTGGTAGATTACGGAGTGATGCCAGCACATCAGAATATTTCACAGATGAGGAAAGTGACGACTCACACATTTCCTTAGATGAAAGCTTGGTCTTAATGTTTGATGAAATGGAGAGTGATGGTAAGATGATTCTCACATAAATACATGGCATACAACTCATTTCAGTGGATGTGGGTCAGACAGATCCAATTGTCCCTCTACATAAGCGGTTTAACTCTAACACTAGAGGTACACATTAAGAGCTGTCTGACTTGAGAACTAGTCCTAAAAAGTTAACTTGTTACATCTGTCTTTTTTGTTTTAAATGTACAGGGCAGTTTTTTACTGAAAGCTCCACTCCTGCTGCTCTTCCTCTGGCCGTGGACAAAGAACCCATCCATCTGCTCGACCTCTCAGGGAATGAGCTGGGCAGTCTGTCCTGTTTGATGGGTGTGAGCGCTCTCAAACAGCAGATTGAAAACCTTCTACGGCTTGATTTGAGCTGCAACAATCTATCAGAGTTTCCCAGTGTTCTCTGTCAGGTAGAAACATTTTGGCAGTGTGATTAAAGCAGTGTTATTAAAGTCAACATGAAACCTTTTGTTCACAGAAACATTGTGACTGCACATTTGAGTTATTATCAGTTCTAGTTAGGGCTGCACGATATTGGAAAAAACTCACATTGCGATATTTAGT